ACTGCGCCCCTGGGTGGACTCGTGTGGCTTGTTCATGAACAGGAGGATTTGAGACATGTGATACGTTTGCATGGTGGATGCGTACATGGGCATGGAGTACAAGACCTCAGTGAACATGGACGCATTACCGTTGGCGGAAATGGGCCCAGGTGCCTGTGAAGGAGCCCTAGCAAAAGGTTCGAATGTGACTGGGAGGTTGTCGTACCAGACCTGCAACTGCCTTTGCAGACTGAACCAGTGGTCGAGGAGGGCTCGCTGAGGAACGCCGGCCCATGACATCCCGGCTTCGGCGAGCACTTCATCGCTTCCAGCCATGAAGTTGACTAGCTTAGCCATGAGCCAGACAAGGGCGCTGCAGATGAGGTCTTCTGCCATCGTCCTGTCATTGCCCTTGGACAAGCCGCATGCTGTTGTGTTACCGGGCATGACATAGCCTTGATCATCAATCTCAAGGCCAGCTTCTCTCCACAATGTGAGGTCCTCAGTATCTAGCCTTGTGCTTGTCCTGTCGATGAAGGCTGCGAGCATATCCTGCCTGGCAATGTTCCAGAAAGCTGCTCGTCGAGCTTTTGAGGTGAAGCTGAAGCTTGCAGATGGCACAAACGATGGAGGCGTTGGCCCTTGGACTGGCATGACATGTTCTTGTGGATTCGCAAGGAGAGACCTTGCCCCAGCGAGATGCTTGCTCCAATCCTGAACAGACGTGTCTAGGGACTCGTAGACACAGATAATGGCAGAAGCTGTCAGCAGCTCATCGGTTCTTGATACCAACGAAGTGTTGTTTGACGTTCGTCGTCGCTTGAGCGCTGGTTCGTCGCAGACCAGGTCGGACTGCCATAGTTCGCAGTCCGATCCATCGGCAGAGGAGCCGACGACCATTTGGAGAGCGTGCAGCAGCAGCGATATAGCAGTGTCGTAGTATACCGCTGCCTTGTGCTTCCAGTCAGCTGTTGATGCGTCCGGGTGCTGTTGCATCCAAGCTTGAAGCGTCGCGCTGCTTCCCGTGACAAGCTTACAGCCTTGAACACGTGCAATAGACTTAGCAGCACAAGCAGCAGCGGCGTACTTGAGCAGTGGGCTTTCGCGTGCCTGCATTGGAACATGGAGTGTGAAGTAGGTACTGAGATCGAACAAGTCCATCCAGCAGCCAGGACCCTCTGAGAACCATCGTAGGAGGAGGTCAATCTCGTGATCGTCCCCAGTAGACATGCCAGCATCTGGTCGGGGCGGTGAGTATGGTGAGCTGTATACCGACCCAGAGTGACGCACGTGACCCGCAGTGTCAAATGGCGAGTTGAGACATGAATCTGTTGGCGGTGCGGCTCTAGAAGCAGTAAACACCGCTACAGGCTCTATATGTTGATTGCACAACGATGGAGAAGGCGAGAGAGGAGTCGCAGCAACCGTGGTTGACGCTGGTTGCATGAGCGATTGTGTTACACGGGGTTAGGCTATACTTCTCTAGGCTCGGTCCGTACTAAGGCGAGGTAGACTAAAGCGGTAGTCCGTGAGGTATCGTATGGAATGATCAGGTGGAAAAGAGTTATCGTTGTAACCA